TGATAAGTGAATATTTTTTGTTGCATTCGAAAACCAAAGGTTCGAAAAATTTTCTAGAATTTTCAAAATTGTCGACTGTCAAATTGCAAGGCTAGTATGATTTTTTGAAAATGATCATTAACAAACAGCTTTAACTCAGTTTTTCAAATGAAATGACTCTATTTTCTCAACGGCAATCAAAAAAAAAAACTACATCAATTTGTAGAAGGACTTTTATCAACATGTCCTATACCTATCTCTTACAGTTTTTGAAATAATCACAAAAACATGTTAATGTTTTTATTTTTATAGTTAATCACGTAGGCTTTGGAAAAATACAATGAGATATACCATAATTAATACAAATGTTCGATATGTTTACCATTTTCAAACAGTCCAAAACTCGATGGTGAACTGATTTGAGTAGCTTCCATTAGTTAATTTGGTTGAAGATTATTAAATGCCGCCTCAATCCTTGCCTCAATTCTTCATAATTCCGGATGGGTGTTGTGTAGACTAATAAATCTTTAGTTCGTCTTGATCATTTTCCAAAGCCTACGTGATTTACTATAAAAATAAAAAACAAAAACACGTTTTTTGTGATTATTTCAGAAACTGTAAGAGGTGGGTATAGGATATGTTGATAAAAGTCCTTCTACAATTCGATGTACCTTCGATTGCTGTTGAGAAAATGGGGTCATTTTATTTGAAAAAACTGAGTTATAGCTGTTTGTTAAATATCATTTTCAAAAAATCATGTAAGCTTTGCAATTTGACAGTTGACAATTTTGAAAATTTTAGGAAACTCTTCGAACCTTTGGTTATCAAATGCAAGAAAAATTATTTACTTATTGCAAACGGATCAAGAGCTGTGATGTTTTTAATAAACCTCTGCAAAAAATTGACATATGTCAAAATCTATGACACATAAGTACTTATAACTAGGTACATTTTACTCAGTTTGAAGAGGAGAATTCAAAAATGCAATAAAAATAATTGGTTACCATTTAAAATTTCAAAGTTGGCGCCAATTTCTCGTAGTTCCGGAAGTTCAGCCATTTTGAAAATAATTTAGTTGAACTCAGACTGGTTGATTTGGGTTGTGTACAAAATTTCAAATTTCTATCTGCATTAGAAGTTAAAAAGTTTCTAATATAGGTCCTAAAAAAATCACCTTGTATAGTCTATTACACTAACAGAAATAGTAGTTCACCATGGAAGGGGAATACCAAGGGACAAAAAATTCTATCAAAAAATTTTGTCATATATTTTTTGACATTTGACATTTTTTATGTGTCTAATTATACTGATGATCGTGTATAAATAACAAATAACATAAAACAGAGTTACAATTTAGGATACAGCTTCCTATTATAGTAGTTTGTATCAAAAAAACTTTTTCCAACAGAAATTAATAAAGTCAAAGTGCAAAAAATTTAAATTCTCAAAGCTTTGAAATTTTTATAGATAGAATTTTTTAAAGATTTTTTCCATGTTCCTGGTATTTAACTACCTTACATGTCGCGAGTACATGAATGTGGATAAGATTACATAAACAACATACAATTTAGTTTTAGTTTTGATAATGTTCTATTGTATAGTAATTGGCAACGTATATTTTGTAACTTTTCCCGGTTGGTAAGCCTGTTAAATTGGTCTTTTTTGTTTCGTTCGAACGCGAAACATCAACTCTTTGTAGTAAAATTCCCTTTGTTTCGCTTTCTCCTCTCCATGTAACATCTCGGTTACACCGTCATGTAACACTGCGCCATTCCATGCCGCATCGCGACGCTAATACCGAAGTTTATTTCGCGTCGCGACGTGTTCACCCCCCCAACTGTCGATCCCGTACGTGATTTATGCTCGCACCCGATTCGATTAAATTTATGGAGTTTATTTATTAATAACAATCAGCTAAAAACAAATAATACACAAATATCGGAGAGGAAAAATACACGCTCACCACGTACAAGAGATTTCCGATAAATTCGTCGACTAAAACTCTCGGTGCTTTTTTCTTTACGTGACCGAAATGATGCTGATTCGAGTATCTTTTACTCTTTTAGTGCTTCCTTTTCGCCTGCATTTCGAGTAAATAACTTGAGGTTAACTAGCGAATGACGCGTCAGCTATTATTCTGGGGGCGGCGATCACTGAACTGGTGGTGGTTTTCCTCTTGGTTCGTTATTAAATAACGCTGACGCTATTTGTATTAACAACAGAGGTTTGTATCCAGGTTTTAGACTAACTCATGTACAGTTTTTACTCTCTTTGTCTTTCTCTCTCTCTATCAAGGTAAGTCGTAGTTTGTAAAACTAATTTAAATTTCCCACCATATTTTCTGTCACAAACAACCAGTGTTGTCAGGTTTGGTGAATTTTACCAGATCTGGTGATTTTCATTGTTAGTCTGGTGTGTTAGTAAAAACTTTTGTAAAAATTCTAACATCTGGTGACTTTTTGGTAATGAAAAAAACTATTTCTCCAGTATTTTCTATGTTTTCAACCAGAAACTTGATTATTTTGTCATTTTTTTTTTTCAAAAATGTCGACAAAACCAAATTAGTTAAAAATAATTTTGTTTGTTTTTTTTTTTTAACAAGATTTTACTAGACAGGATCGAAAATGACAATTTAMTTTTGTDTTTTTCGAATACTTTTTCAGCTAGAAACAATGATTTCGCAAAAATTCGTTAATTTAATAAATTCGACCAAAAACGCCGTTATTTTTATCTTTCTCAAGTGTTTCAGCACGTTTTTGAGATAAAAATAAAAAAATCCCAAAAATTTTGTTTAAGCAGGCAAAAATTTACAAAATTAAATTGAAATTGGTATTATTTTTAGCTTGTTCTGCTCGACTTACTTTGTTTTTGAACCAGACACTCATTTATTTTGCAAAAGTTTGTCCAAATACGCTTAAAAACCACAAAAACAATTCATATTGTGATGTTATTTTGTTTGTTTCACTTGATTTAACTGTTTTTTGAGCAAAATAAATGCTTTAAAGTGCTTTTTTGTACTAAAATTTTTCAGGTTTTTCACTAGATTTTGCTAAAACAAACTAAAAAGTCAAGAAATTAAGTCTAGAATTTTTCGAGCATTTTAGCACGTTTTTCAGTCAGAAACACAATTATTTCGCAAAATTTTGTTAAATACAATACAAAAAGTTCAACAAATTTGACAAAAAATGGCGTTATTTTCGCCTTTTTCAAGTGGTTAAGCACATTTTTGAGATAAAAACATAAAAATTCTAAAAATGTTGAAGCAACCAAAAAAATTACAAAATTAAATCGAAATTGATATTATTTTTAGCTTGTTTCGCTCGACTTACTTCGTTTTTGAACCAGAGACTCATTTATTTTGCAAAATCTTGTGCAAACACGCTTTAAAATCACAAAAACAATTCATATTGTGATGTTTGTTTGTTTCACTCGATTTAACTGGTTTTAGAGCAAAATAAGACAAAAATAAGCTGAGAAACCACAAGATTTTCCCGGAAATGCTTTTTGGTGCGTTTTTGTACTGAAATCTCACTAGATTTCGGTAAAGCAAACTAAAAAAATCAAGAAATTAAGTCTAGAATTACATGATTTTTGCATTTCTCAAGCATATTAGCACGTTTTTCAGCTAGAAACACAATCATTTCGCAAAATTTTGTTAAAAACAATCCAAAAATTTGACCAGAAATGGTGTTATTTTTGCCTTTTTAAGTGGTTCAGCATGTTTTTGATATAAAAACAAAGATATTCTAAAAATTTTGTTGAAGCAGAAAATTACAAAATTAAATCGAAATTGATATTATTTTTAGCTTGTCTTTGAACCAGATACTCATTTATTTTGCAAAATCTTGTCCAAACACGTTTAAAAATTACAAAAACAATTGATTTTGATGTTATATCGTTTGTTTCACTCGATTTAACTAGTTTTTGAGCAAAATAAGAGAAACCACAAAATTTGTCCGAAAATGCTTTTTAGTGAGTTTTTTTTTAGTACAAAAATTAGCAGTTTAGTAAATGTCAGGTTTTTCACTAGATTTCGGTAAAACAAACTAAAAAAATCAAAAAATTAAGTATAGAATTACATTTCTCGAGCATTTTAGCACATTTTTCAGCTAGAAACACAATTATTTCGCTAAATTTTGTTAAAAACAATCCAAAAACTGAAGCAGGCAAAAAAATTACAAAATTAAATCGAAATTGATATTATTTTTAGTTTATTCAGCTCGACTTACTTTGTTTTTGAACCAGAGACTCATTTATTTTGCAAAATCTTGTCCAAAGACGTTTAAAAATCACAAAAAGAATTGATATTGATGTTATTTTGTGTGTCTCACTTCATTTAACTAGTTTTTGAGCAAAATAAGACAAAAATAAGCTGATGAGAAATCACAAAATTTGGCCGAAAATGCTTTTAAGTGTGGTTTTGTTCTAAAATCTCAGGTTTTTCACTAGATTACGCTAAACAAACTACAATATCAAGAAATTAAGTCCAGAATTACACTATTTTTGCATTTCTCGAGCATTTTAGCAAGTTTTTGTTGAAAACAAGCCGAAAAATCACAGATTTTTGTTTTTTAAGAGTTTAAGCGGATTTTTAATCTGATAAAAATTTGGGGAATTTTTCAACTCGGATCTGGTGAATTGTACGTCTTTGATCTGGCAACACTGCAAACAACTCTTGAAATTGAAACAAACAGGTGCTGCAATTTCGATAAAAGGCGACAAACTTGACGAATTTACGATCGCAATAAGTCGTAAAAATGACATTTGACGTATAATTAGTCGGGGCTTCCCCTAAACTTGTTCTTTTTTCCAGTTTTGGATGTACAGCAAGAGTGGTGAGATTCGTCGCGACGAGGCCTGCCTCGATTACAGCGGTCAAGAGGTGATTTTATACCCGTGTCACGGCAGCAAGGGCAACCAATTTTGGGATTACAACGCCAACAGCAAACTTTTAAGGCATGGAAGTAGCGATAAATGTTTGGCCATAAACGAAGCGAAAAATAAACTACTAATGGAACCCTGCGACGAGGAGGCCACGAGGCAACAGTGGTCGTTGGAGAACTACGACGGCAACAAACTGTGATTGTTTTAGTGTGGCAAAAAGACGAGCTTTTCTATTGTTTTAAGTGTACAAAAGTTTTGTATAAAAATGATCGGTTTTACAGTTTTATAACGAATTTGTAGATTCTAGCAACGACTGTGTCTAGAAATAACTCAATTCCACTTATACATATCCGATTATTTTAGTGCTCAATTGTTACATTCCGTTAAAGACGTGCTTAAGTAAATTAAGACTGTAAATAACTATTTACATATCCACAAATATCATTTAAGCGGCCTCTGTATATAACTGAAACGTACTTAATTTCATATCACACGATCCGAAATTATTTTGAAAAACTATCATGTGATATTTAGTCTTTTAATTATGTAAATAATCACATTATTTGCTCAATTTTGTTCCCTTTTTACGTCAATTACTCTTCAAAGGGCCATAAACAACGTTATGTAAATAACTCGCAGTATTTTATCTTGATTTTATTACATAATCATAATGTACTTAAATATATTATTGTACTAGAATGTAAATGTAGGCCAGTGTATGTATTTTTATAACGTGCCTTATTTGTGTATATAAAACGTTAATAAAATTATGTTGATATCAATCCAACATTTACTATGTCCAAGACAGTACCTTGCCAAAGCGAGACAAACTTACACTCTTAAGGGAAATCAGAGTGAGACACAAGACGCAGTGTATTTTTGGTTGCCTACACTTTAATACTTATTTTAAATAATTGAGTTTTCAAATCATTGATCAATTACGCCAAAATGAACGTGACGTGGTATTTTTCCTCGCATCAAATAAATGTCGATTCAACTTGCATTTTTTCTTTTCATCAATTATGTCTAAAGCAGTACTTAGCCAAAACGAGACAAACTTATACCATTTTTGTAAGCCAAAACGAGACGCAAGACGCGTGTATTACTGGTTGCCTGAACCGGTCCAATTTAACGTTACTAAGTTTTTTGTTTGATCAATAACGTCAAAATGGAATCGAAATGGTACTTTTTTCCGGGTCAGACTCCGGCAAATACAAAAATTTCCGACAGGGCTCACGCTCTCCACATTACTAAACCGGCATGGGCCAACATAACCGAGCATTTGAACCGGAAAAAGCGAATTCAAGAAGCTATCGACAAAGAAAAGGCCCACAAAGAAGCTTTGAAACAAGGATCGGAGGCGATGACCAAAGAATGGGTCAATTCCATTGAAGTATTGTAAATAATTGGTAAAACGTGTCTTAGGGTAATTTTTAGAATCTTCGAATAAAAAAAGAGGAAGAGAGGCGTGACCGGATTAATAAAAAGAAAGAAGACAAAATACAGATGTTTTACAAAATGCGAGCCGAACAAGAAGTTGTGAGAAAAGAGTACGTCGAGAAGGTTAAACGGGAGGTTTTCCGATCGACTGGTTATCCCAAAGAACTGACAAGTGCTTTAATGCTGTCTGAAACATTGTACGAACGAGAGAAACAAAAAGAATTCAATGAAATGATCAAAAAACACGAAGAAGAGATAAAGAAGGAGTTTCACGCTCAAGTTATCGCACGCGATGAAAAAGACAAGAAGGAAGATGAAGACCAGAAATTGAAACGATTTGAAGAGCGCAAAAAAGTGTCTCAAATCCTCAAAAATCAGTAATTAACATTCCGTGTCATTTTTCCCATTCATTGTTATTTTCAGGATTGTGGAGAACGAAACAATGAAGAAAGCCCAAAGCCGTGCCCGAATCGAGAAAGAGACAATCGACCGAATCAACGCAGCTCGCGAAGAAGAGCTCCTCAAAGAGTTTGAACGCGAAGAAAAACTCAAAACGCGTCGCGAAATCGCCCTTGAGAAGAAAAAGGAAATTGCAGTTGAGCGCAAACGTCAAGAACTCCTCGCTAAAGAGACGGCCGAGATGGAAAAAGCGACGGAATTTTACAGTGAGGCTAAAAAACGCATCGACTGTCTCCTCAAACTCAAAGAGAAGGAAATGCGTGAGGAGGCGATTAAGGCCCGTGAGGCACTAGCCTCCAAAGTTGGAGCGATTCAAGAAGCGAAAGATGCGGCTGAGGATGAGAGAATTGCCAAAGCGGTGGCGGAGAGAGATGAGGAGGAGAGGGCCAAAGTTGAGGCAAAGGCCATTATTGAGGCACAAGCTGTCAAGGAGAGGATTGAGGATCGGAAGCAGTTTTTGGAGAGGCATGAGCGGGAGAAATGTGCCGAGAGGGAGGTGAAAAGGTGGGAGATGTTGAATAGGGTGAAGACACAAGAGGCCTTGAAGGAATATGAGGAGAGGGCCATCAAGGAGAGGTGGGAGAGGATTTTGGAGTATCGGAGGGAGTTACTGGAGCAAATGGCGGAGGAAAAGGAAGTGCAAAAGAAGGAGAAAGAGATTGAAGAGATTATGTCACGGGTGAGTTTTGAGGAGGCCGATAAAATGTTCTTTGATTATGCGGAGGAAGTTATGGATTTGGCTAAGAAGAGAAAGAGGTCAACTTATCCGATTGAAAAAGTGATAACAGTAAGTTTAATTAAACGCACTTATGACGTTTTTAATGCTTTATTTACAGGAGTACAAGAAAATTAATAATTTGATGCCAAAAGACCGACATTGCAGATGTTGCAAGAAATAGTTTTTGAGGCAATTTGAATTAATTTGGGGATTTTAAGATGTGACGTTGGTACCTCAAGTAAAATAAAAACTTATTTAAAAATTAAATAGTTATTGTAAAGTGTGCCAAACACTTTGAATTTTATTTAGTCACTAATGTTTTTTATTTATTATTTTTTATAATTTTTAATTTCACAATTTTCGTAGCAGTTGTCTGAAATACCGGTTGAGCGAGTTTTTTTTTGACAGTTGAAAATTGACAGTATCGTTGACGCCATTTTGTGGTTGGTTAATTCGTGATTTTTAAGTGTGATAAATTCGCGATTAGTGTTAGTGTTTAGTCGTAGATGCTAATATCGCCTGTGATTTATCAATAACTTTGTCCAAATTGTAAAAAAATGGGTCGCAAGAAGAAGAAGATGTCGAAACCTTGGTGCTGGTATCCTTTCTAAATTTCATGTTTTCTCCCCCCGTAAAACGTTAAAATTAGCTTCTGCCGCGTCTATTTTTAGCCCCATATTTCCTTAACCAAGTTTAGGTATTGCAACCGTGAATTCGAAGACGAGAAGATTCTCATCCAACACCAAAAAGCCAAACATTTCAAATGTCACATATGTCATAAAAAGCTGTATACGGGTCCCGGTTTGTCGATACATTGCATGCAAGTGCATAAAGAAACAATCGACAAAGTCCCGAACTCGTTACCCAACCGCACGAATATAGAAATCGAAATTTACGGAATGGAAGGTATGTGCCCCCATTTGTGCCCCTCACTGTCTCATTAAACCACGAATTAGGTATCCCTGCTGCTGATCTACGCGAGCACGAAAGACAGCGTCTGGGGAGTGTCTCAGGAACGGTCTCAGGGTCTGACGACGAGGACGAACCCGCGTCAAAAAGGGCCAAACCCGAAGGCCTCCTCGGCAACGCTCCAGGAGTCATGCCGGGAATGCCAGGCATGATGTCGGGCATGATCCCCCCGCCTGGAATGCCGCCGGGCTTGCCCATGATGGCCATGGGGCCCATGGGACCCCAATTCATGCACCCAGGGTAATAAACCCCTAGACTAATTTACTTAATTTAATTTAGTGGGTTTAGCATGCACATGATGCCCCCCCACATGGCAATGATGCAGACGCAAGGGGGCCCAGCAAAGCCGCTCTTCCCCAGCGCAATTCCGACCTCTTCTCCGGGGGCTTCCATCGTCGGGGCTGATTTCAAGCCGATTTCGTCGGCGACCATCAGTGCGCCCCCCACAACCAACACACCGAGTAGCAGTGACGGCAATAAAGTCAACACAATTGCTACAACGGGGGCCACGAGTAAAATAATCCATCCAGCTGAAGACGTTTCATTAGAGGAAATTAGGTGTAGGCAACCGAAATACGCGAAAAGTATCCCCCAGAAAAGCGATGAGTCGGCTTCGAGTTCCAATACGGCGGCTTCAGATGTGAGTATTTTAGTTTTTGTGGTTGGTTTTTTTATTTTTGAACAGTTGGCAAACGCCGTGTCTGCCGCTCAACAAGCCGCCGCCCAGGCCAAGCAAGCCGAAGCGATAAACCAGGCGGCTATGATGCAGAGGTTTCCGGTTCGCGTTTCCGGCCCTCCGATCACAATGGCCTTGCCTGGAGGTCCGGTGATGGCCCCCATGCGGCCCACGATGATCCCAGGCCCCCCGACGCTGATTGGAGGCCATTTGATGCGACCTCCGCCCATCAGTATGCCCCCAGGTATGTGAGGTAGTTGTAAAGACAACTATCATACCGACACACAGTTTTGATCGATTTAAATAATGACTTAAATCAAAAGTAATTAATTTTATTTTTAAAATCGTGTGAAAGGAGACTTTAAGACTTAAGAAAAAGAATGACAGAATACTGGTAGTATGTCTAGGAGATAAATTGTTTTTGTAAAAAGTTAGTTTTTTGTGTAGAGTCTCGAAGTTTGGTTATTTAAGTAGCGAGATGTAATTTTAGTGGGCATCATAACTGGGTTTTTGTTTTTTTTTTTTTCAGAATACTCGTATTACCGTAGGCATTTTTGAAAAAAAATTATCGTGCCAAACACCGGATGAATACTGATTTTTTTCTATGAATTTTATTACGTACTTTTGATATTGTTTACAAGTTTTACAATAAAATTCATTTTCTTACTTTTGTGTTGGTTATTTTCCCTTTATGGTGAACACACGTCATACATCTCGTGCCTTTAAATAGTCAAAAACCATGTACTGAATGTTATTAGTCTGAAAAATTAGTTTTCTAAATTGTATACTTAGATAATTTTTTGTGTAACATTTTTTTTTATTTTTACTGATTTTTCTCCTCAGTGAACTTGTATCAGTATTAAAGAATCGCTGTATAATTAATAAAAAAATTCTCACCGAATTGACTCTAGTATTGTAATCATTTTTAATAAACTGGAGTGTTAACGAATTTTTTTAAAACGGATGTGTTGTGAATTCGAAGACGAGAAACGAGAGTTGGGGGCATTTCGACACTGGTCCCAGGTATTGAAACTCACGCACTCTGTGTTGGCATGCCTGCATTATATATATATCTCTGTCACTCGCTTAGTTTCCAGTGGTTTTACTGTCATTGATTGATTATTGATTGCATCATCATCTGACTGCGTATTATAATCAAACATCGTGTAACTTATTTAAATCACTATTCACCAGTACGTGTTTGAATAATGTCATTTCTTTGTCATTTGAGTTATTATAGGGCGATAGCGATTGGCTAACTCGGAAAATGGACAAAATCGGTCAATTCTATTGGCCAAAATCCAGAAGCAATTCGTTGATTGATTCACTCAAATATAAGTTTCAATTTTGGTACTTATTTCTTAAGACTTGCATAATTAATGATTAATTTAAAACGTTTATTAAGTATAATCTGATCAGTCTAGGTTGTTGCTCAGTTTTAAATGAGATGTTCTTTTTTTACTAACAAATTACTCACTTTTAAACAGGTTAAAATTATATTACTTGCTCAGTTTATTTTGATGATTTGCTCAGTCTAAATGATCATTGTTTTATTACAAGAATATTAATTTCTTATTGTTCAATTAAAACTAATTAATTATTGCTCATTTTAAATAGAAAAAGTACTATTTTAAGTGGGATAACAACTTAAAACAGTTATTTTATGTTGTCTGCTCATCCTATCCTCTAATTACTTTGTTGCTCAGTTCAAAAATTAAATGTGTTTTCTAAACAAGGTTAAAATGAAATATTTGCTTAGTTTATTTATATAATTTATTCAGTTTAAACGATTATTTAAAAATTTTTGGAATTTTTTTCGTTAAATTGAAACGACTTAGTTGCTCAGTTTAAACAGTAAAAGAATTTACTTCAAGATGTATACAAATCTTAAAAATATCTATTTTATGTAATCTACTAAGCGTAGCCCATAATTTGTTGGCTCAGTTTAAAAAATACAATTTTTTGTCTTTGATTTAGAGTAAAAAAATAGCTCGCTTTTAAGGAGGTTCAGATGAATTATTTGCTCAATTTATTTTGATAATTTGCTTAGTCTAAATGAACATTAATAAACCAAAGTACATATTTAGTGAATTCTGTGAATTAAAACCAATTAATTGCCCAGTTTTAATAGAAAATAAATTATTGTCAAGTTTAAATAATTTTAATTCGAACTTAAAGCATCAGTTTAAAAAATACAGTTGTTTATTTTTACTGATTCAGATTTTAAACAGGCCAAAATTGAATTATTTGTGGAGTTTTGATAATCTGCTCAGTCTTTGATAATCTGCTCAGTTTTAATTCGAACTTAAAGCATCAGTTTAAAAAATATAGTTCTTTATTTTTACTGATTCAGATTTTAAACAGGTCAAAATTGAATTATTTGTGGAGTTTTGATAATTTGCTCAGTCTAAATGATAAGTTAAAATACTTTAGGAATTGTTTCGTTTTAACGGATTCAGATATTTTTCAAGTATTGCTCTTTTGTAAACATGTTAAAATGTACTATTTGCTCAATTTATTTTTATAATTAGCTCAGACTAAATGATCATTAAAAGTTTTAGGAATTGTTTTTTGTTTAATTAAAACGACTTGGTTGCTCAGTTTAAATAGAAAAAGTATTTACTTCAAACATAAACAATTTAAAAATACTTGTTTTATGTAATGTACTCAGCGAAGCCCCTAATTTGTTGGCTCAGTTTAAAAAATACATTTTTTTGTTTTTACTGATTTAGATTTAAAAAAAAATGCTAACTTTTAAAGAGGTTGAAATGAATTATTTGCACAATTTATTTGGATAATTTGCTCAGTCTAAATGATTATTAATTAACCAAAGTAATTATTTGGGAATTACTCATTCTCGAGTTAAAATCAATTAATTGCTCAGTTTTAATATAAAATACATTATTGTCAACTTAGATAATTTCAATTTGAATTAAAAGCATTATTTTAAAAAATACAGTTGTTTTTATTTTTTTTTTTACTGATTCAAACTTTAAACTGGCCAAAATTGAACAATATGTGAAATTTTGATAATTTGCTTAGTCTAAATGATAAGTTAAAATACTTTAGAAATATTTAGGAATTGTTAAATTAAAACTAATTAATTGGTCAGTTTAAAAAAACACAACACTTGTTTCGTTATTCAGATTCAGATATTGTTTTAAATATTGCTCACTTTTGAACATGTTAGAATTTGCTCAGTTTATTTTTATAATTAGCTCAATCTAAATGATCAGTCAAAAGTTTTAGGAATTTTTTTTTGTTAAATTGAAACAATTTAGTTGCTCAGTTTGATTTGTTTTGTTTTTACTAAAGAAGTTAAAACTTTGACTGAAATTGTTGAATTAAAACCAATTAATTGCTCAGTTTTAATAGAAAAAAAATATCTTTAAACCAATTTCTGTTTCAGTTAAAAAATACATTTATTTATTTTTTACTGATTCAGACCTGAAACAGGTTAAAATTGAATTATTTGTGGAATTTAATTTGCTCAGTCTAAATGATCAGTTAAAATTCTTTTGCTTTTAAGGAATATTTAGGAATTGCTCATTGTTAAAATAAATTAAATAATTGCTCAGTTTAAAGTAGGTTTTTACCGATTACGCTCAAATGTAGTCACGAGTCTGCTTTAAAATTAAAAATGAATCAATTAGCGATTTGATTATGACCCTTTTCCGGGTTTCCCCGCGCCGCACTTGTCCGGCGACTTGATTTCTTTGTAGTTCTTATTTAAATTAGCTATGTGTCATATGCTAGGCTTTAGTAAATTTCTTTTTGTCTCCAAAGGTAAGTATTTTATTTTTTGTTGTTTTATTTTGAGTTTTCTTCGACTTTTGTGAATTGAGTGTATGATAAAGAAATGGCAGTTTTCAAACTAGCTCATCGAGCTCGTTCATCGTTTCATCAAAATTTAACAAAATCGTTTGTCACAGGGATGATCGGAGTACCTCCCGGAATGGTTTACGCATCTCACATGTTTCCAGCCGGACCTATGCTGACACCTATGATGCAGCCGAGGTTCAGATGATCTCCGATATACCTCGTCTATCACCCGCAAGTCTAAATTTTTGTTTTTTTTTCCTTTTTACTTTTTTTTTTTTAAGTTGCATGCTTGAAGTTTGCGATTACGATTATATTGACATTGTTTTATTTTCGACAGGTTTAAAAAATGCCTGCCAAAACGGTATGTAACACAATTATTTTTTTCATTGAAGTGCCACTTGAAAGGTTAGTGTATTTGAGGTTTAGAGCACGTTTGGTCTTCGATGTGACGTCGGTTTATGACGTCACATGGGGGATTGTAAAGTTTCCGCTGAAGCTTTAAGGCTTTAACACACACACTTTATGGCATCTATCAGGTTTGTACGAAACACTCCAAATTTTTTTAATTTATTTTAATTTATTATTTCAAAGGTAAGCAGGTTTTTTTAATTCGTTGTACATAAACATAATGTAAATTTCTGTTAAGCGTTTAAAATTTTATCGAATTAAATTAGCTTGGCTACTGTTACGATCAAGGTAGGTTCACTAGCCATCACGCTAACTTTTAACTAGGTAGATGCATCTAAAATAACTTGAAAATTATGTTAGTGTTTTCTCGAGACGTCGTTGTATAATTTATGTCAAGGTACGGAAAAAAATTAATTTTCCTCACTGGTGGTGTATGGTGTAAAACGGAATCACACGTTTAGTGACAAAACAAAAAAAAAACACAAACGTTTGATTTTTCTCACACAGGGAACTTGTAGAGGCAGGCGATTTTAATGTCACAGCTAACGCTGTTGGAGTGTCCGACTCTCTATTTTATCACGTGACATGATTCACTTTTTGAATCATGGCACGGTCGATAAAATAGGTGATCTTCGATCACAGCGCCCTCTGTAATTGTTTTTCTCAGCTGTTGGGTCGCGACATTCCCCTGCCGACGTATGTGGCTTGACAGGCGATTGTTTCGGTTCGTTGCCGGGATAATCACAGGTCTATACGACCTGTTGGAACAGATGAACCATACCAGGCTGTTGATGTGCAATTGTTTGTTTTTTTATATACATATAAGGGTGTGGTTCGATGGACCCCTGTCTTTCACTGCTGTCAATGTACTTTATGTAGTAGTTTAAACTATGATTGTATTGTATAATTTGTTTTTATAAATAAAAGTTTATTTGGAAAGAGGCAAGGGAGGTTTTATTTTATTTTATTCTATTTTGGACTATAAACTTGTTGCTAAGCACTAAAAAAGGGGGTATAATTTTGCTTTTATAGGTCTTTGGGCTTTTTTTTCTAACAAGGGCAAAACAAAATCTGGATTTTTCTACCAAATTTGTCGTAATTCCAAAATAAAATAAAACGTATGTACCACGAGTATAATTTCTCTCTCAGGCTTAATCTTGTTATTATGTTCTTGGTACATAAATAACTATCATAAGCAGCAAAGATCGGTAAGGCAACATTTGAAAACGGCACCAATGTTGCCAATTCAAAAAATCAAATTTACAAGATCATCACCTTTTTTCAAAAAATTACAGCAATGCTGTTTTTTACATGAATCTCACGAAAAATTGAGTTTTTCAGCTTAGAATGCATGAAGAAAGGAAAAATAATAGGATTTTTGGCCTAATTCTATGATTTTTTGGCGAGTTTTTAACGAGATTTTGCGACATAATTGCATTTTTATCTGAAAAACATGCGGAATGACTTGAAAAGCGCAAAATTAAGTCAACCTTTGATTTCATTGTTTGGTTTGTTTCAGCAAAATCTTACAAAAAACTTAAATTTTATTTTAAAAACCTGTAAAAGTTAAAAAAATAACGCATTTTTGACTAAATACATTTTGTGTTTTTTTGGCAGATTTCTGACAAAATGAATGAAACAAAGAGTTTTTGTGATTTTGAACGTGTCTTTCCAAAATAAATAATTCTGGTTCAAAAAAGAACCAAAATAATGTAAAATTAACACAATTTTTGGGCCTAATTTGGTGAACTTGATTTTAGTGAAAATTTACGAAACAATCCCGTTTTAGTCTACAAAACGTCTGTTCTGACAAGATAAAAATAATGTAATTTTTTGACTCTGTTTAGTGATATTTTGTAAAGAAATAAAACATTTTTAAATTTGGTGGTTTTTTAATTTATTTTTGCGAAAAACCGAAATAATTTAGTTTCTAACTGGAAAAAAATGCCAGAAAATGCAAGAAATAATTTGGGCCTGTAATTGTGGATAAAACGTTATATTGCAGTCGTGTGTGAGTCGCGTTACCACTTAAGACATTCTTGCGTGGATAAAACGCTATCTAACACACTCTTGCTATAAATAACTATTAAATGATTTACTGGTTTTTTATTTATTTTTGAGAAAATTTGCCGAAATAATTGAGATTCTAACTGGAAAAAAATGCCAGAAAATGCAAGAAATCGAATTAGTTCAAAAAAGAACTAATAACAAGCTAAAATAATGCAAAATTAACATAATTGCTGGCGTAATTTGGTGAATTTTCAGCTTATTTTTAAAGAAGCTGCGAAACAATTTCGTTTTTGGCTACAAAACGCATTAAATGTTGTAAAAAGACAACAATAATTTAATTTTTGTCCCAATTTAGCATTTGTGATAGTTTTTAAGAAAATAGAGCATTTTTAAATAATTTGGTGGTTTTTCAATTTTTTTGAGAAAATGTGGCGAAATAATTGAGTTTTTGACTGAAAAAAATGCCAGAAAATGCAAGAAATACAATTTAGTTCTTTGGCTACTAAATGTTCGGGGAAATACTCGATTTTTCAGAAATATTTTTAAAATGTGTTAGTTTTCTTAGTTGTTTGTTACAACCGCAATTACGGCACTCTTTCGTTCAAAGAAAGACCTAAAAACAAGCTAAAATAATACAAAATTAATTGTTTTTAAGGAAACTTTGCAAAACATTTCCGTTTTCGGCTACAAAATGCACTAAATGTTCTGAAAAGACAACAATAATTTAATTTTTGACCCAATTTAGCTATGTTTTGACTCTGTTTAGTGATAACATTTTTAAATAATTTGGTGTTATTTCAATTTATTTTTGAGAAAATGTGGCGAAATAATTGAGTTTCTGACTGAAAAAAATGCCAGAAAACGCAAGAAATACAATTTAGTTCTTTGGCTACTAAATGTTCGGGGAAATACTCGATTTTTCAGAATTTATTTTAAAATGTGTTAGTTTTCTTAGTTTTTTTTTTGCAACCGCAATTACGGCACTCTTTCGTTCAAAAAAAGAACTAAAAACCAGTAAAATAATACAAAATTAATTGTTTTTAAGGAAACTTTGCAAAACATTTCCGTTTTCGGTTACAAAATGCACTAAATGTTTTGAAAATACAACAATAATTTAATATTTGATCCAATTTAGCGTTTTTTTTATTTATTTTTGAGAAATTTGCCGAAATAATTGAGTTTCTCACTGGAAAAAAAGCAAGAAATTTTGTTCCTTGGCTACTAAACGTTGGGGAAAATTATTGCAACCGCAATTACGGCAGTTTTCTTTTCTAAAAATGATCACTTATTAGAATTTTTAGAAAATCTTTCACTAGCATGAAAATCACCAAATCTAATGACATTTTTTACCAGATCTGCCACCAGAAATTTAAAATTAGGTATAGGCAACGAATACATTTTTTTTTTTCAAGAATCCGTCAAGTGGCTACAATTTTTTCAGCTTAAATGTAAGAAATGAAACATTAATTGCTGTTTTTATACTAAGGCTTATCATAGATTTAATTTTTTTAATCAGAATGATTAATTTTTGATAAAAACTAATGTGAGTAACGACAATTATCAATTATCAATAAAATTTAATGAGTTAGATTATTTATTTGAAAAAGAAAATATGTTTCTGATAGCAAAAGATAATGTTTTATTACGCATGACGTGTCTCGCAAAGGCTTAGATTCTATCATTTTTGAGAAAAACAGTTATAACAATTCGATATTGCTTTAGTCCCCTGTTATCAAACATGATTGATAAGATATTTCAGTACAGGTGTAATTTATTTTTGTAGTAACCTCCAATTCCACTACAGGTAAGATTTTCCGCAAAGTTTTTCTTTTACTAAAAAAAATAGTTAGTTTCGGCCAAAATGGACTCTCCGACTCCCCAAAAAACCAACGTGAGAAACATCATTTCAATTTTCGAGAACCAGTCGGTGAACAACTTGAATAATGAATCGAATTATTTGATACGTAAAACAAAATCGATGGGGAATTTGAGCCACACACCGAGAGTACGAGCTCAAATCGAACCGGAGAGAAATTTGGAATTGGTCCAAATCGAGCAACAAATCGAGCATTTGCAAAATAAATTGAACTATAATTACCACACCTACGTTCGAGAGACTCACGTTTATTACCAGAACCAGATTGTTTTTCTTTTGGGCGATTTATGTAACGTTGAGAGTGGAAATAATCCGAAATTGGTTGATTTGAAGTCCGAATTGAGCGAGTCCTTGAAACGGATCAACAAAAAATTGAACTCTCTTCTTCCAACTACTACTAATAGTACTCCAGAAGTTCGGTCTTATAATAGTACTACTCATAGCACTACTACTCACAAAAAGGGACCTGTCGTTAAGTCGAAGTCTTTCGAGGAAAACCTTGAAAAAATTCGTCTCCAAAGATCGAAAAGCGAGCAAATCGAGGTCGAAGACTCCGTTGCCGTTTCTGTGAAAACACTCAAACAACTTTTCGAGAGAAATACGAACGGAATTGAGGGTAGATCAGTCGTAAAAAGGGCCAATACGTACAGCGGTGAACACGATTTTAAGTATGTTCCATACAGTGAAAAATTGAAGAAGGAAAATTCCCTTGATATTGAGGAGGAGGAGGTTTTGAAGGAGGAAGAAAATGGGGTGAAGTCGGGGGAAATGTCGACGGATTCGTTATCAGGGAGTGAGAGTAAGGAGGTAAATTAGGGAGAATGGGTAATAAAAGGGCTGTTTTTCAGTGAGCGATGAGGACAGTGACGAGGATTAAATTAATCACGAGGATTCATTTATTGACTTGTATTATTATTTAATAAATAAGTAGACAAAAATTGTGTTGTTTTATTTACATCACAGTTATACACAGTCAAAGGTAATTTATTGTAGTATTTTGTTTATTTGAAAAAAAAAACCTGGATTTATTTTTTTACGAATAGAAAACTTGAGTATGATGGAAAAAAGGTAAGTAGCAAATAATATAAATCTAGAAATTTTAAAAACTTCATCGCGTTTATTACTCTTGATATTTAAAAATAATAAAAATTTAAAAAATGTGGAATATTATTATTAATATTATTATTTAATAAATAAATAAAAGTTGTGTTGTTTTACTTACATTACAGTTATACACGGTCAAAGGTAATTTAATGCAGTATTTTGTTTATTTGAAAAAAAAACTGGATTTATTTTTTAGGAATAGAAAACTTGAGTATGATTGGAAAAAAGGTAAGTAGCAAATATTTTAAATCTAAAAATCTTGAAAACTCCCTCGCGTTCATTGCTCTTGATATTTAAAAAAAAACAAAATTTTCAATTTAAAAAATGTGGAATATTTTTTCGCGTTCATGTAATCCCGATACTTCCGATATTACGAAAAATCGCAAAATTTTTAATATGAGGAATACCTCGCTTTTATGTGATCCTAATATTTCGAAAAATCACAAAATTTTTAATTTAAAAAATGTGGAATACCTTTTCGCGTTCTTGTGATGATGATACTTACTCTTGATATTTCGAAAAATAGTAAAATTTTTACTTTTTAAAGTGTGGAATATCTCTTTGCGTTTATGTGATTTTTTTTCGAAGAATCGCAGAGTTTTTATTTTTTATAATGTAGAACACCATTTCGCATTTATGTGATTCTTATATTTTGAAAAATCCGGAATTTTTAATTTTTATAATGTAGAATACCTCTTGGGGTTTATGTAATCCTGATTTTTACTCCTGATGTTTTGAAAAATAGGAAAATTTTTAATTTCAAAAATGTGGAATAGCTTCTCAGGTTTATGTTATGCAAATGTTTTAAAAAATCGTACAATTTTTAATTTTTATCATGTAGAAAACCTCTTCGCGTTCATGCGATCCTGATACTTGCTTATGATATTTCAAAAAATCGCAAAATTTTCAGTTGTAAAAATGTGGAATACCTTTTCGCGTTTATGTGATCCTCATACTCATTCCTACTATTTCGAAACATCGCAAAATTTGTAATTTTATAATACCTTCTCGCGTTTATGAGATCCTAATATTTCCAAAAATTTCAGAATTTTTTATTTTTGTAATGTAAAATGCCTCCTCGCGTTTATGTAATCCTGATACTTACTCCCGATACTACGAAAAATAGCAAAATTTTTTATTCTAAAAATGTGGAATACCTCCTCGCATTCATGAAATCCTAATATTTCGAAAAATTGCAAAATTTTTAACCTCGAAAATGTGGAATACCTTTTAATGTTCATGTGATCCTAATATTTCGAAAAATCGCAGTTTTTAATTTTTATAATGTAGTATACCTCTGCGTGTTTATGTGATCTTAATACATATTTTAAAAAATTGCAGACTTTTAATTTTTATTTTATAGAATACCTTTTCGCGTTTATGCGATCCTAATATTTCGAAAAAAAAATAATTCTTATAATGTAAAATACCTCCTCGCGTTTATGTAATCCTGATATTACGAAAAATAGCAAGATTCTCAAAATGTGGAATACTTCTTCGTGTTCATGAAGTACTAATACTTACTAATATTTCGAAAAATGCAAAATTTTTAATTTTGAAAATGTGGAATACCTTTTCACGTTCATGTGATCCTAATATTTCGAAAAATCGCAGAGTTTTTAATTTTTATAATGTAGAATACCTCTGTGTGTTTATGTGATCATAATATTTAAAAAAATTGCAGACTTTTAATTTTTATTTTGTAGAATACTTTTTCGCTTTTATGCGATTCTTATATTTCGAAAAAAAAATATTTTTTATAAGGTAAAATACCTCCTCGCGTTTATGTAATCCTGATATTACGAAAATTGCAAAATTTTTAATTTTGAAAATGTGGAATACCTCCTCGCGTTTATGTGATCCTAATATTTCGAAAAATCGCAGTTTTTAATGTTTATAATGTGGAGTACTTTTTCCCGTTTATGTGATCCTAACACTACTAATATTTTTAAAAAATCGCATTTTTTTCAATTCTAAAAATACTTTCTCGCTTAGAAACCCACATGTGATCCTAATATTCCTAATATTTTTTCGATATACATACTTTAAGTAAACTAAGTAGTTTATTTGCTGTAAAGTCCATAATCTAATAAGGTCATTGGTCAAATTCTTGTGATCATATGCTCAGTTTTTTTGCTAAATGCGCTTTTTTGCTTGATTTTTTGTTTCGACAACCCATTTTTTTATTTAATTTAATTAGTTTATTTTAAAGTCTATCTTAGAATTTTTCTTGTGATTAAGTGCGACTCTTTCTTGATTTGTAGGGATCACATAGAATATTTTGATTTTTTTATTTGTTTTTTTGTGATTACATGAGATTTTTTGTTCTATTTTTACTTTCCTTATTTTGAAAGATAAGTTTCTTCAAGAAACTTGAAATTTGGTAAGTTACTTGTAGCAAGGGGACGTAGCACGAAACATTTGGTAAAAATCGGTCGCACCGTTCGGCTGCAAAGACTAAAAATCAAGGTTATACGGTTGAAGATACTATAAATAAATCTATGGGGATAAAAATTATTTAGAATCATGAAATATACCTTATTAAAAACAGTAAAATGTGATAAAATAAAAATAATAATGGGTACCGAACTAAAAAAAATGCACCCCAGACTCGAATCCGCGACAACTATGATCTATTTCGTGTATAATCCGGCAGGTGGCACTAACGCAAACGTTAGGTTTGCTACTCGGATTTCCAACACCGTAAGGATGTTTTCCAAATAAGTTGAATAAGGAAAGTCGTGTGATGTTCACACCAGATTTTTTGTTTCTATAAGCGATTATTTTTAACTTTCTTAGTGTTTTACTGTAAGATTTTTGCTCAATGTCTTGAATATATTTATTAAACAACTTAATAATGACTAAGGTATTTAAAAATGAAAGAGAGTCACAATAGATAACAATTAGATAACATATTTATTGTTGTGGTGAGCGATAATTTTTTAAACAAAAGCGGAAACCACCAAACACACTTTTTCATAAATAGAACGCAATTTAAATCACCTATTTAGACATAAAATATGATCAACTAAATAAATCTAATAAATATCTGATGCGCCATTTAATGAAATTTCATATTAGCTCGTCGTCCTTGAATCTGAGTAAAAAGTAAACATAGGTGTACCTACACATTGTTTACTCGTTTGAAGCGTAAAAATTGTTAGCAAATCGAAGCCAACGTCCTGTTTAAGTGACAATACAAATTAGCTTTTTTACTAATTATTTTCTCATAAATTAACAGCCGGTTAATTAGCGATTTTTCTAATCAAAGACATTTCACAATTAATTGACAAAGAAAAGCTATTTCTTCACGCTTTATCTCGCATTTTTAAATCCTTGTCGTTCTTTGAATATTTATACCTGAGGTCATTTCAAATGCATTTTTTCCTCTTCCTTGTTTCTGACTGTGTTATTAATTTTTTGGAGATGAAATCATGGGAAATGTGATTTTTGCGGTTGTCTTTTCGTCGAAGAGTGACACATAAGTGGATATTTTATTTTTGATTTTTCCATTGAACTTGAGCTTCCAATTAAGGCAATCCCATCAACACGCACACTATTTTTATAATGCATAGAATGATTTGCTTTTACTTTTCATGACTTGAAGTGTGACGAAGTGAAAAATCACAAAACATTTGTTTATTTAATTAATTTTAATTGACTCGCTTTGAATATCATAATTAAGAATAATTGCAAGGTAACGTTTGATTGGTACAAAAAAGCGATCTACATTTTGTGATTTTCAAAATTCTCACAGTTTTAAGGAAATTGCACAATTAGTTCCTATCCAGTAGTTGTTTGATTATTTATTATAAATAAATTTGTTTACTTATAAGAGTTGCACAATGTCCGTTTTATTTCAATTGATTGTAAAATTCAATGTTAAATTTTGAAATTAAAATTTGCAAAATTTAATAGCTACTTAAATATTTTGTTACTGCATAATAAGAGAATGTGCAGCGTTTTACTAAAGAATAATTAGTTCAATGTCTGGATTAATTAATTTATTCAAACTATTAAAGCATTTTTGACCGAATTATACGAAGAGTGAAGCAAGGATTTTTTTATTTTGCTTCTTCGCACTTTGAATAAGGCCTTATGCACTTTCAAGTAAGAAACGAATTTTTGCGAAACTTTTTAAACCAATAAAATGCACGAAAGAAGTTTGGTTTTAAAATGGTGTTTTACAATTTTCAATTTTTGTTTATTTTAATTTTTTTGTTTATTTTTTGTCTGTTTTTTTTATGTCTAATTTGTATAAGGACTATTTCCCTTTTTTCGTAATAAAGCTAAATGGCCTTGTACAAGAGATGCCCCCTATTAATATCTTTGTCATTAGCTGTTATTAAAAAAAATAAAAAAAATATTAATTGAATGGGGGTTTAAATTATCACTTTGACCCTATTT